GTGTGTGTGTGTGTGTGTGTGTGTGTGTGTGTGTGTGTGTGTGTGTGTGTGTGTGTGTGTGTGTGTATCGGGGGGGAGGGGCGCTCGTGTCGTACGTGCGCGTGTGCTTGTCTGCGTTTGCCCATGTGCGAAGGAGGGAGTCGGGGCCAAGCGACCCGGTGCATGTTTGTCCAAGGGCTTGGTAGGTCGAAAATCAAGGGGCGGTGCACATTGGAGGCAGAGGTTGCTGGGCTTGCTGCAGAGGCAGACAAGGTCATTCACGCACACCCGCGCAAAGCACACTACCGGTGCCCTTGACCCGGGGATGAGCCGCCCTGCCGTTGTACACTGCGACCGCTCTCACCGCCGCCCTGGCCTCCCCTTTTGCAGGCGCGCCATGGAGATCGAGCCGGGCTACTGCGAGCCAGACTACTGGATCGGGATCACGCTCATGAACCAGGTGGGCGGCCCTGATTTGATTCTGCCTCATCATCGCGACGCGCGGCAGCACTCGGGCTCTGTGCTAGGAACGGTTGGGTTTCTCGGCATCGCCCAAAACCTGCCAAGTGCTCATCAACCAACGATTTGGTGATCTTGATCGTTTTTGAAGTCGTGACGGTGGCCGGCCCCTCTCTACACAGGGCAAGGTCGAGGCGGGGGTAGCAAAGCTGAAGCGGGCGCTGAGCTGCAAGTACGTGGCAGCCGAGGCCATCAAGGCCCTCAACCAGGTGGGCAGCTCCCCCCAGCGCAGCTCGCGCTGAGCTGTGCTGTGTGGGGTGTGACGCCCGACCAATGTCGGGCTGCGCCTCAAGCGGGGTCTTGGCTGAAATCAGTGGCGCGTGATTGAATGGTTGCAGCGCCGATGCCACCGCGACAGGGTGCCCGCCTCCCACCTGGTGAGGCCACCCTATGAGGCCACGCAGCGTCGCTGTCCACTGGCCGCACGTCCTTTATGCTTTATAACATTGATTTCGAACCCCTCTCATTTGTGTACCCCGTCACTACAGGTGTATGCAATGATGCTCTCCGCCCAGCCGGGAGCCCCAGGGCCCCTGATGGTGCGCCCTGGCTGCCTGCCTGCCTGCATGCCTGTATGCCCGCCTGCCTGCCTGCCCGCCTGCCTGCCTGCAAGCCTGCATGCCTGCAATCCTGCATGCACACATGCCCGCATGGTCGCATGCCTACACTGTGTGCCTGCATGCCTGCATGCCTGCATGGTTGTACGCATGGCTGTGTGGTGGTGTCCATGCGTCAGTGCACAGCATCGAGTTTCGATCACCGCCCATCGGATGTGCGGCCGAGGTTTTCTGCCTCGTTTGCTTCCAGCGACTGTCATACACACGACTACCACACACCGCAACCCCGCAAGTCTGCCTTCCCGCATCCCATTTTCCATGATCCCAGGAGTGGGGCCGCATTCTGGCCAGCCCCGCAGTAGTGCGCCCCAGCGAGGCCTGCTCCACACTGGAGGACGCCGCCGTGCTGTTTTCCGCGATGCCATCCCAGTCCGCCACGAAGAAGCGGGCCAAGGGCGCCGCCGTCGATGCGGCGGCCATGATTGATGCGTGCGTGAAGACGTGCGTGGAGGGCTTGAGCAACTTCACGGCGGGCGTTGTGCAGGTGGGGCGACCGCGCACCATGCTGTGTGGGTGGGGCGTTGCGTGAGTGGGGCCTTGGGCTGCCTGTCACCAGTTGCAGAGCTTGGCGCTAGGCCGCAGCTTGTCATGTCTGGCCAGCTTCAGCCTCCCGCGCCTGAAGCTCTGTCGGCCCGGTCACAAAAGTTGGGTAGGCAGCAGCAGGTCGTGGTGCCACGAGTCTCTTTCAAATTGAAGACTGCTCGGACATTGGCAACACGTTTGGCTTGTCTGGACTGGCCCCCTCGCCGATCGCGCAGCCAAACAGTCTGCCGGCCACCACGGAGCACCTCGACGTGATGCGTCGCACGCTGGACGCGCCGCTGCTGGCGCGCTGCGTCGAGGCGCGCGCGGACGTGTACAAGGCGATCGCGCGCAGCGGGGTGGCCTCTAGAGCGGCACGGCGCGCCGTCTACCGGTGAGCTTGAATCGATGGAATCGCCTGTGCTTAACACAAACAAATGCACGGCTTCAGCATCTGTCATGCGAGCAGGGCGTGTTTGGCACTAATCGCATCCCGGTCAGCGCCATGCTACATGTGGGTTGCACCCCACTTTCAGGGCTACGCCTGCGCCTGCTTCCGCCCCCCACTGTGGCCGCCCTCGCCGCTGGCTCCCTGCCAAAGGTACATCAAGCAGGTGCAGGGGATGCCCGGGTGCCGCAACGGCGCGGCGCTGTCGTTTGAGGGCCACGAGGGGGAGCCCACGCTGACTCACCAGAAGCTGCTGCACAAGTGAGCGACAGGGCCATGCCCCGCGGCCGGAGCAAGGGGCTCACCCAGCTTGCCCTTGCACGCGCTGGTCAGCCGTGCACGGGCGGAGCACTGCAAAATCGCAGTGTATCGTCGCAAACTCTGCATCATGCTGCACGCGCGTGTCTGCAATCATGTTACCAACGTCTATACCCGCGCCGACGAGCTCGGAATTGGCCTGCCCCACTGCATGTGCCCTCGTCCGCAGGTACCAGTCGCTCGACCCAGAGGACCCCTGGCTGCAGTGGGAGTGGGGCGAGACGCTGCTGGCAATCGACCGCCGCGGCCGCCGCGCGCGCGAGGCCGCGCTGCACCTCGAGGTGGCCGCCGCGATCCTGGGCCGCCTCCATGGCCGCATCGCCGCGCTCGAGGGCGGCGGCGGCGTCGAAGACGAGGAGGACGCAGCGCTGCGGCTGCGGGCGCGGGGCGGCGGCGGCGCGGGCCCGCCGCCTGGCAGCGGCGCGAGCCTGTCGTCGGCGTGGAAGATAGAGGGCCTGGACGGCGGCAAGCTGGGGGCGGAGGCGGCGATCGTCGCCGCGACGGGCCCGCTGCAGCGGCTGCTGGACAGCTTGGGGGCCGACGACGACGCAGAGGCGCGGGTCGGCCGTGGCAGCGGCGGCGGCGGCGGCCGCAGAGGCGGCGGCGGCGGCGAGGACGACGCGGCGCAGACGCTGCGGGTCCTGCGGTGCAACACGATGATGCGGCTGTGCCACATGCAGCTGCAGCGCGTGGTGTACATGCAGCGAGAGGGCGGGCCCGGCAAGCCGGCGGTGCTGACAGCCAAGGCTGCGGCACGGCGGTGTCTGGCGAAGATGCAGGCGGACCGGAGTTGCGAGGCGCAGGTGGCTGAGCTGGCCAAGCTGCTGGGGCAGGCGGAGTTCTGAAGTCACACGCAGCCCCTGGGTGGCGGGCTAGCACCCGCTGGAGCACCCGCTGGAGCACCCACGCATGCGCCACGCACCCTCTGCATGCAACTTTACGGTCGGTGTGCATGATTTAAAGTATCACAGACCCTCTCCTAGCAGCTGAGGTTAGGATGCGCGCTGTGGTTATCGCAGGCGGCGCTGGCAGCACGATGCCCTTGCCGCCATGAGGTTTGAGCAGCTGCTCAGAGGCAGGGGAGCGGCTGTGGTCCCACGGAGACATCATGCCGCCCTCCAACGCCCCAATTAATTATTGCAGGTGCTTTACTCAGTCCTTTGCAAGCTCCCTGATTATCCACAGACCCAAAAGTCCCAACACCAGATCACAAGTCTCTTCCTCTGCGCTCCGTCTATCAAGCGGTGCGGTCAAGCACGCGTGATGAAAATCCATAGACGCCCTGAGAGTCACGACGCATGTCTGAACTGCCTCGCGAGCAGCTGCCACCACTGCACACGCGCCTTGGCTCCCGTTCACCGCGAGCTAGGCAACCCAGAAGCCATCCGGGCATGCAGTCGGGCATATTCGCGTTCGCATAGGACTGGCTGCTCCGCGCACTGCATGGTGGTGAGACACCGAGCCACGCGTGCGCCCAGCTGACCTCACGCAGCACGCCCACTCCTGCCTTGCAGGCCTCCAGACGCCAGGAGCGCGGGCCAGCTCAAGTACATACAGCACCACCACACCTGAACGCACACACGATGTCGTATGGTGGTTACGGTGCCGGCGGCGCGGACCGCCACGGTGGCGGCTACGGTGGCAGTGCCGCGCGCTATGATCCCTATGGCGGCGCCTCCGGCGGTGGTGGCGGCTATGGTGAGCTTGATGGGCAGTTGCAGAGGCATAGTCTGCTGGTGATGATGTTAGAGATCACCAAGCCACAATTCTGTTAGGGGGGTGCTTGGTGAAAAGGGTCGCCAACAAGCAGCGATCGGCTTGACGACACCATTGGGCCCCACATGGGAAGGGGCCCAGAGGCAAGAGGACGGGAGGGAGCAGGCTTGCGATGCAACGGTAGCTGAAGCCGGCATAAATGCATGTGGCATGCATGACATGCGGGCGTCAGACGGGTCCCTCCTGTGTTCCTTCATGCGGTTCCTGTGGCGCCATACCAGGCAGCAGCTATGGTGGTGGTGGCGGCAGCTATGGTGGCGGTGGCTATGGTGAGAGCCTGTGTGTTTGTCGGACACCAGGTTTCCCCGAGCAACAGCAGCGGCAGCGCAAGCCTCTTGTAACCTGGTGGTTTGCTTTACTGTGCATCTTGTCCCCGCTGGACAGGTGGGCAAGGCGCCCTGCCCTGTTCACGCATGGGCACACACGAACTGACCCCCCAAAACATCATGTCTTGCAACCTCCCTCCAGGCGGGGGTGGCGGCTACGGCGGCGGGGGCGGCGGCTATGGTGGCGGGGGCTATGGCGGCGGCGGCGGCTTTGGCGGCCGCGGAGACCTGGACACGATCCAGCTGTCGCGCCCAGACTTCTCCAACCTGCCGGTGTTTGAGAAGAACTTTTACTTTGAGCACCCAGCAGTGACGGTGAGAGGGCCAGGGCGCAACAGACTGCGGCATCTGGCGTCTGGGCCACACCCAGTACAGTCTATTGACACAAAAGTCCTGGCAGCCCCTTGGGCCTCGTTGTCGCAGCCATATGTGCATGCGGCCGCCTCAACCCCCACCTCGCCACCCGCAAATATTGCCGTCAGCAATGCTGCCGCCGCCGCCGTTCCTCACTTTGCCGCTCACTTTGCCGCTCACCTTCGCGCATCAACCCTCTGAAGGCGCGCTCCGAGGGCGAGATCGAGGCGTACCGCGTGAAGCGCAGCATCCACGTCTACGGGGAGGGCGTGCCCAAGCCCGTCGAGACTTTTGAGGAGGCCTCCTTTCCGGGTGGGTGCTTGGAGTGGAGGGGCAAAGAAGCCCTGCCCTGTTTCTGGGATCCTGGGGCGTTGCGTGTTTTTCAGCATGTCATTGCGGCCTGGACCTAGCTGAGTGGAGCTCCTGAAGCAGCGAAGGCTGTGCGCCCCCCTTCAATGCGTGGAAGGAGTCCTTAGGCGCCTCCTTTGTTCGCGGCATCCCATGACTCATAATCCGCACCCCCCTTCCTCCCCCCACCCCCATCCAGAGTACGTCCTGACTGAGGTGCTGCGCGCCGGGTTCACCGAGCCCTCGCCCATCCAGTCGCAGGTGCGCTGCCGTCCTGGTGCCCAAACTGGCTGTTGCTGTGCGGCCCCGCGTACAGGGACTCTGCCAGCAACACTCTCTGTCGCGTGAAACCCCTCTCCTGCCCCTCTCTTTGCACTTACACATGCACACACACACACATACACATGCGCGCGCACACGCCCGATGCCTCAGGGCTGGCCGATGGCGCTGCTGGGCCGCGACCTGGTGGGCCTCGCGGAGACGGGCTCCGGCAAGACCCTCGCCTACCTGCTGCCCGCGGTGGTGCACATCAACGCGCAGGTGGGCGCCACACCCATGCCAGGGGCACGCTGTTGTTCCCGGCTCCTGTTTGCTCCTGCGTTTCTGCTGTCCCTTGTTGCTTTGAGCTCGCGTGGTCAAGGCGCATTCTGCAGCGCTCGCCGGCGTGTTGCTCAACTCACTGTCTGGTCTGGTCACCCGCCACGTCACCCGCCACGGTCACCGCGACCCCTGCAGCCCCTGCTGGAGCGCGGCGACGGCCCCATCGTGCTGATCCTGGCGCCCACGCGCGAGCTGGCGGTGCAGATCCAGGTGACGCACGTTGACCGATGACGAAGCCACGCATGCTGCTGTCGCTGCCCGAACCCGCACTCTGCTGCCCTGCTGCTCTGCCGCTGCCAGTCACGGCGGCCATCAGGTGCCGCCATGCCTGTATGCTTTTCTTCCGGTTTGGCTTTGTTTCTCACTCCCTTCGCGTCCGGCTTGCCCGTCCCGGTCGCCCGCGACCCCCAGGACGAGTGCCGCAAGTTTGGCTCCTCCAGCCGCATCAAGTTCACCTGCGTCTACGGCGGCGCCCCCAAGGGCCCCCAGGTGCGGCGCCCCCCGATCGCCCCCCTCCGTTGCGGCTCCCATGCGCTCGCACGTCCCAGCCGCTGCTCGCTTCACCCCCTTGCCCGGCATCCCTGGCTCCTCGTAGGATCTGACGCGCCCTTCAGGCCCCTCTCAACAGTGCCTCCACGTGCCAGCGTCCCTGTCCGCGCACCAACCTCTCTGCGCAAACACCCCGTCCCAACCGCCTGTACCCAAATCCATGCCCACCCAATTTCATGCCGACCCCGCTTGCCCCCAAAACAGATCCGCGACCTGCAGAACGGCGTGGAGGTTGTCATTGCCACCCCGGGGCGCCTCATCGACATGCTGGAGTCGCGCCACACCAACCTGCGGCGCGTGACATACCTGGTCCTGGATGAGGCGGACCGCATGCTGGACATGGGCTTCGAGCCTCAGGTGGGCGCAGCGCCGGTTCCGGTTGACCGGGTGGTAACCGCGCTGTTGACCGGGTGTTGACTGGGTATGGCGCGGCGAGCGGCGGGTCCATGGTGGCACAAGCTGGGCTGTCCAGGGCACACCACCCTCATGGTGGACGGTGATTTCTGGACGGGATAGCGGACGGGGTCCTGCAATTCCTCTCGTCGAGGCGTTTGTTGGATGGAGACGCGCTGCGAGTGAAGCAGCGGTGTGCGCCCTGCTAATTGCGTCGAGTTTGCTGCACCTCTGGTTGGGCGCGGCGCCTCGCCCGGCTGAGGACGTGTTGCACCTGGCGTGCCCTCAAGCCTCTGACACATTCTTGGTCATCTGTGTGGATGCGGACATCCATGTTCACATATATCAATACCCGTCACCCCCTCCCTGCCATCCCAAAAGCGCACCATCAGCATCGACCACCCTCTACAGCATCCCCTATCACCAGCGCTCACAACTATCAATGTCATCCCACCCTCATCCCCAGATCCGCAAGATCGTCAACCAGATCCGGCCGGACCGCCAGACGCTGCTGTGGAGCGCCACCTGGCCCAGCGAGGTGCAGTCCATCGCCAAGGACTTCCTGCAGAACCCTTACCAGGTATGCCGACGGCACGAGGACCGGACGCGGCTGGACTGCGAGTAGGGCCCCGTGTTGGGTCCTGAAAGGTCGCTGCACATGCGGGCTTTGAGGGGGCAGTAACGCAGCACGCAGCTTGCCCCCCGCCCTGCTTTCCATGGCCAGCTCTCCTCTGGCTGCCGTGCGCGTGCGCGCGTCCCCCACAGGAAGGCGACCGCACAATCATGGGCGTCTTAATCTTGCCACCCGCCTACCGCCCCCTGCAACCCTCAGGTGATCATCGGCAACCCCGAGCTCAAGGCCAACCACAACATCACTCAGATTGTAGAGGTCTTGGGGGAGCACGAAAAGTACCCTCGGTTGGTGGCGCTGCTCAAGCAGGTGCGTGCTTTTGTGTGTGTGCGTGTGTGTGTGTGTGTGTGTGTGTGTGTGTGTGTGTGTGTGTTTGTGTGTGTGTGTGTGTGTGTGCATTGCCGTAGGCGGGCACGCCGGGCCTGTTGATGTGGCGCACGGCTGCAACCTCCACTCGAGTGACCCCACGCCCTTTTATTGCGCCTGCACAGCTCTTTGCAAACTTGAGTACTTGATTGGGCGCCGTGAATGCCACGCACGCCGCACCTGACGTTGCCGCTCACTTGACAGGTCATGGCGACCAGCGGCGCGGGCTCCAAGGTTCTCATCTTCTGCGAGACCAAGCGCGGCTGCGACGAGGTCACGCGCAGCCTCAGGGCGGAGGGCTGGCCTGCCCTGGCGCTGCACGGCGACAAGCAGCAGCGCGAGCGCGATTGGTGGGCATCTTATCAGCAAAGCCTTGATGGGCCGACGGCTGCTGCGAAGTTTAATTGCGTGTTTTTGACAGTGTTTGCCCTGGAGGGATCAGCAGGGGTCGGGTGCGATTGGCGGCGTGCTGGCTTCTGGTCAGGTTGCACCGGCGCGCCCAGCACTGCCGCCTGGCAGGGGTCTATGCATGCGTCGACACTCGCGCTTGCGTTGCACGCGCGCACGTCAGATCGCCGCCGCCGCGCCCGCGCCGACACGGCTGCAGGGTTCTGGCCGAGTTCAAGAGCGGCAAGCACCCGCTGATGCTGGCGACGGATGTGGCCGCGCGCGGTCTCGGTACGCCGGGGGCCGTCGCGCCTCGCCTGCCGCGCGGGGCACGCGCGTGGGCATTGCGTGCTGCTGTTGAGAGTGCCCCTGGCTGCGTTGCCGCTTGATCGTGTGGGGCGTGTTGTGCTGTCGCGCTGCGTGGGGTGCGCAACGAGGGCACGACAGACAGCAGAGCAGATGCCGCCACACAGTGAGGTAGCTTGACGGGATCACGGCAGTGTGCGACACAGGCTCAGCCGCGGCCGCGGAGTGCAGCTAGCAGCAGCGGGGCCGGTGAACGCGCGGCCGTGGACACAGCAGCGGCTGCGTGACAGAAGCGGCGCGGAGGCGGCGGGTGCAGCGTGTTGTGCATTGGCGCTGCGCTGCTGCTCGCGCACCAACGGGCTGCGCCCCGCCTTACGCGGGGCGGGGCCTTGCGCTGGCGGCTCGTGGTCCGCCCCGCGCCTCCTGCGCTCACGCTGCCGGGGGCGCACGCGCGTGCATGCACACGCGCCCGCTCGCGCCGCCGCGGCAGAGGAGTGAGGCGCGGCGCTCGCACGCACGCACGCACCCCTCCGGTGCTTTGCCACGCCGCGCCGCGGGTGCGGGCGCGGGGCCGCGTGGTGGGTGTGGGCCTCCCGGCCGCGCTTGTCGCACTGCTTGGCGGCGGCAAGGCGGGGCCCGAACCTCTTGCATCCGCCAGGCTCGGGAGTTCAATCCCCCCACCAAGCCGCGGTCCCGGCCGGCGCGCGAGCCTGTTGGCACGCCGGCACGCTCGCCTTGCGCATGCACGCGTTTCGCGTGTCGATTGCGGCCGCGGCGCTCCTGAGCGGCGCAGCATGCCGACGTCGGCGCGCGTCCGTCCTGCCGCGCTGGCGGCGCCCCCTGGCGCCCTGCCGCGCCCAGAGCTTTGCCCAGCACTAGAGCAGCTTTGCCCGGCAGTAGAGCGGCAGCCGGCGGCCAGCCAGCCTCCAGGAGAGACGCTCCGCCGCCAGCTGCCAGTCCCCTCGGCCAGCTTCCTGCGGCGCACCAGCCAGCCCCGCGCGGCACGCAGTGTCAGCCGCACGCCCGCCCTCGAGCCAGTCGCTGACGTCGCCCCTCCCCACATCCTTGCTTGGGTGCGGCCGCGGCTGCTCTTGGCACCGCCCCGGCTCCGCCCCTTGCCCCTCCCCCCTTGCCTCCCTCCCCTCCTCTTGCTCGTCGCGATCTGGTGCTGTGATCTGGTGTCGTGATCTGGATCAAACCCCCAGACGTCAAGGACATCAAGGTGGTGGTGAACTTTGATATGCCAAACAACGCAGAGGACTACGTCCACCGCATCGGTGAGCACACGGCCCCCCCCTGCACCTACTGGCTTTGCGGCGGGACCATCTCCAGCGGTGCGCCGTCGCATGCGTGGCAGCGGCGCGGCCCTGGGCCGCCACAGCAGTGTTGGTGACAGGGGCAAGGCGGCGCAACTTGTCGCCGTTTCAGCATGGGGGTGCATTATCAGACCCGTGACGCCCGCCCCCCGCTCGTCCCCCTTCGCCCCAACCTACCTGCAGGCCGCACGGGCCGCGCGGGCGCCACGGGCACCGCTTACAGCTTCTTCACCGCTGCCAACGGCCGCCTGGCGCGAGAAATCATAAAGATCATGAATGAGGCCAACCAGGTGGGGCTTTCCCTTTTTGTATTGGGTTTGGGAGGATGGTGGTGGGGATGGAGGGGTCTGTGGCGGGTCCAGGGTGGTAAAGCCTCAGATCAATTGAGGCCAGGTGGGCTTTGTTTGAAGGAGGCCGCCGGCCGCATGGGCGACACATGCAAGGGGCCGGACGGCTGCAATGTGGCTGCCGCGCCCTTCGCGGCTCTGTCGCCGGCGCCGCGTTGAGGGATCGAGACGGAGCCGCCTGGGCGGCTGCAACGCCACTCTCTGAATCCACAAGCGCACTGAGCGTTACACCGCGCCCTGGTGTCTCTCTTTGGCCCAGGTGGTGCCCACTGAGCTGCAGAGCATCGCCTCCACAGCTACTGGCGGGCCGCCAAGTGAGTCGCCGCGTTTTATGGGCCAGTCCGTTTTGTGGGCCAGTCCTGCTGCTTTGGGTGCGCAGCGTGGTTCGAGAGGTGAATCTGTCTGGAAGGTCGGAAATGACCTTGAGGCAAGCCCTCATGCACGCTATTTCCATCGCTCAATCATGTGCACCCCTCGTTTTGCAGGCTTCCGTGGCCGGGGTGGCGGCGGCCGCGGTGGCGGCGGCGGTGGCGGCGGCCGGCGGTGGTGATGCGTTTCGAGGTCTTGTGCTTTCGTCATGTACGCTCTCTTTCCTTCGCTTGTGTTGGTGGCAGCCCTGCATAGCCGCACATCTGCTAGCCCACCCGTACAGCTTTGACCAGATCGGGGCCGTGCGGGCACTGATCCTGCCCCGCTTTACTCGACTCTCAATGGCCGCTGAGATGCCGTGCATCCTCTTGTGTTGCTGTAATTTTGATGCCAATGTGCAATTGAACCCTCCAGGCACGTTCATCGTAGGCTTGGACGACGTGCCCGGTGGCTTGCGCAGCCGGCGGCTGACGAAGCTGAGTTCACACGTACCGGTACAGTCGCACGTGTTGACTGCTGCCGCAGAGTGGTCGCCTTTCGCTGACCATGCGTGCGTTGTGCGTGATGCTGTATGAGGTTAAAAAATTACCTGTATAAGCATTGAGCAAATCCACGGGGGGGCGTAATCCACGTTCTGAGTTTGATGATTTGAAGCCGCCAACGCAGCAAAGGTCTCGCAAGGCAGGCCGACTGTTCCAAAGGAGAGGGTCATTGGTGACATCGATATACAAGTCTCACACTGTAATCCATAGACTTTGTACCTGTGGCGAGGACTTGATTGATCTGCCGCGCTTCTTGCAAGAGCCTCGTGCAGCGGCAGCGGCACCTGTTTCCAGCACATATATTCTATAGTCATGGTGCCGCAGCTGCGCGCGATCCAGAACGCGAACGGCCAGCAGCACCGGGCCGCCGTGCCCGCCACAGCCGCCCGCGCCGGCCTGCCGCGCCGCACCCCACGCGGCCCGCTCGCCGTGCGCGCGTTTGTCGCCGAGGACAAGAACTGGCACAAGCTCGACGTCAAGCATGTCATCCAGGCGCAGCAGTTCGGCCGCGAGGCGATCGATGTGATTTTCCGGGAGGCGGAGCTGATGGAGAAGGTGAATGCCGGGGCGCAGCCGCTGCAGGGGCCGGGGCGCCGCGCCGCACCGCAGATGCCGGCGCCGCCCGCAAGCCGGCACGCCGCAGCAGCCGCAAGCTCAGAGTCCGTGGCTGCCGCGCACCCGATTCAACGCAGCCGGCCCACGAGCCGGTTCAACGGGCGCGAGCGCGGGCTCGCCTCAGAAGCCGCCGGCACAATCATACCCTGCCCTGCCCTGCTTCAAAGGTGCGGCCAGGCACGCCGGAGTCGAAGATGCTGGAGGGCCGCATCATGGCCACACTGTTCTACGAGCCCTCCACGCGCACGCGGCTGTCTTTCGAGTCGGCCATGGCTCGGCTGGGCGGCACGGTGCTGTCCACTGAGAGCGCCGGGGAGTACTCCTCCGCGGCCAAGGGGGAGACGCTGGAGGGTGCGCGGGCGCGGGCGCGGCCGCAGGGGGTGCACCGTTGAGGGCGGTGCGGCGCGCATGTGCCAAGGCCTGCGCGTGCGTGCAAAGAGCACTCGTCTTGTATGGCAATGCAGCGTCGTGCAGACATGCTTTTGCACCCACTGGTAATGCACGCGCGCGGTTTGGTGAGTCCTCGGTGCCTTGGCAGCAGCCAGGCATCAGCCATGTCCCGAGCGCGATTGCCTATGTTGAGCTCAACACGAGTGCAGCTGCTTGTGGGCTCTCCCCACGTGTCGATGTTCCGCGAGTCAACGCAGCCCCCCTCCTCCACCTACATGGCCATGTGGTCTTCACCTGCTGACGGCCGCGACCCTGACCGCCGCTGCCGCCGCGCCACGACCGGCAGACACCATCCGGACTGTCGAGGCGTACGCGGACTGCATCGTGCTGCGCCACTTCCAGGAGGGCAGCGCGCTGCGGGCCGCCGGCGCCGCGAGCATCCCCATCCTCAATGCCGGCGACGGCCCGGGGCAGCACCCTTCGCAGGTGGGGCGGAGCGGTTTCGGCGGCGCGCGCCTCGCGTCTTGAATGCGAGCGACTGCTGCTTTGATGCAGCTGACTTTGTGGTCAAAGCCATGATTCGAAAGCCTTCGACTGTGTCGCAGGTGCCCGCGCCTTGATGATGAGTTTGGCAGCTGGACGAGGGGTTGGGGCAGTGGACTCGTGTTGGGCACATGAGAAGGGCCATAAGGCCCCCCTGCCCCGCCCCCATACGTTTAAGTGACTAGCACAGCTGCCAATTGGCTGCGAAAAGCGGCCGCGGCACTTCATACACCAGAAGTCTTGCTGCTCTTGATCGCCAAGGCTCTCCACCCATGATCTCCCACCTGCCATCTCAATCCTTGCTCCCTTGGCCTGCGCTCTTCTGCTATCATCAAGCAACAACGCCAACCTCATGCGCTGCAGACTCCTCCTGGGCAGCCAATCTCCTACCGGCCCTGACCCACCCCCGACCATCCCCAACCTCCCTAAACCGCTCCCAACCGCCCTCCCAGGCCCTCCTGGACCTCTACTCCATCAAAAAGGAGATTGGGCGGCTGGACAATGTGAAGATCGGGATGGTGGGGGACCTGCTCAACGGACGCACGGTCAGGAGGTGAGGTTTTTCACACGCGCATGCACACACAATCCCACATGCACACACTGGGCCTCCGCCAACAACGCGGTGAACTGGACAAACGCAAGCATGGACATCGCGCGACAGCGCGGCGCGGCGCCACCGCGCACGTGCAGGGCTGCCGCGTAAGAGGGGGCGGGCGGCGCCCGCCTTGCATTGGGCAGGGTGGGGCGGCTGGCGGCTGCGTCGGTCACTGCGCTGCTGCCCAAATCATTCCCCCTTCGTCACGTCATTGCTGACACCGCCAGCCAGCCACACCCACCCCACCCCACCCCACCC